CAGAAAACAATGCATTCATTCAATCATTCATTCATTCATTCATTCATTCATTCATTCATTCATTTCAGGAGTGTGAAGATCTGTCTGTGAATCTCAGAGACTCTGTGACAAGTATTTCCTTGCACAGCACCTCAATTGAAAAATATTTACATGGCAGTTTTCCAAGCTAGATAAGATCTGTGTTCATAAATTCACCTTTGAAAGACTGTTCACCAGGCCTTTCCTGAATGTGAATGAGAGGAATTCACATTCGTTTAATCAAAGGGGTTTTGTCGGAATCAGGAATCTGCTTCGTACAAAAAAATATAAGAAGGTCATTTTGGGGGAAACATGGGTAATGGATCTTTGATCAAACTTCTTTAGGAACTCTTAAAAATCAGTTCATTCCCCAGCACTAATTTTAAGTATTTTTCTATCTCTATCAGTTGTTCACTCCTATGATTGCAAAAACTGCAAAATGGGAGCTCACTCCATTATGTGGTGCTAGGGATTCAAACCGCCAAACTGCCAAGTTTTCTGATTGACAAATTCAGCGTCTTTGCCACTGAACCACCCCGCCCCTGATAGAATCTTGTATAAATCCTTTATTGATGGATCTCCAATCTTGAAGTTTTGGAGAAATATATTTCAGGTACCAGAAAGTGGTTCAAATATTGTGCATAAAGTTTAAACTCTATGGTGGCTTAGTACATTGAATTATTGGATAAAAACAGTTTCCTACCTCATGGAATTGGCCTTATTTTTTTTCTGATAAATTTATTAACCGGTGGAACACCTCCATTCTGCACAAGTTTGACTGCTCTGGTTACTCACAGGAGGTTACATTAGACTTAGGCCCCAATAGTGCCAAAACCAAGCTGTTTAACATCTGTTCAGTTTCTTTAGTATATTTGGTTATTCTCTAAATCACACAGTGAGAGATGTCTACTTTCTAAATACTATGTATGTAAGCCAGATAATCTTTAATAGCAGTTTGTCTATAAATTTTATATGACCATTGAATTACTATCATTTCAATATTAAATATTACTTTAATACTGATGGGTGCTTTTGAAATATTCATGTGCTGATATTTTGGCCTGTACCAAACTCTCAGAATTATTGCAACAATAAATTACGACACAAGTATCACCAACAAATAGTATTTTTAATGGATAGTTACAATTAGCAGCTGTCGATCAGCTGAGCTGCCAGGCCTGCAGCCATCTTTTCTTTTGGATCTTTGGCCTGCCACATTTTCTATTATTCTACTAGGCATTTTCTATTGTGGGAAAATGGGAGGGGGGAATTGTATGGAGTTGGATTTTATGTAGCCACCAAAAAATTCTTTCTCGACAGCCCAGGTCCTCCTTTGGCTTTGCCCCTGGCCG